GTTACATGTAGAATAGTTATCTGTTGTTGTAAATTTTCTTTTCTGTATGTTCATGTAAAAACAAATTTACTATAATAATGATCATTGGTATACCAGAATTTCCAGGTGTTGTAATTTCTACATAAATTAGTGATAAAAAGAACTGTCTGGAAGATGTTGTCTTACAAAAGACTTGATTCTATTCCTAGACTTCGTATTACTTAGTGCCTTTAGAATTATTTTAACAGGAACGCGAGATGGTTCCCTGTCCCTTTTCCTCTGACAATTCACTCTTTTCTTACGAACTTCAACATTTTCAGAAATAGTTACACTATGATTTTCAATTTTCTCAGAAGAATAACTTGTCAAAGCCTTATCATGATCTTGTGAACTACAATCACCACTTATCAGCCCGGTAACCATTTGACTTTTGTCACTTTTCATTTGGCGCAATGGCCATCGAGCAGAATGACTCGGTTTATTTGCTTTGTGACCACAACGGGTCATTTGGCGCAATGGCCACCGAGTACAATGACTCGGTTTGTTTGGTTTGTATTTGTGACCGCTATGGGTCAAAGCACAATGGCTTGGTAGATTTGCTTTGAGACAACTTTGTGTCAGAGTTATCGGTTGATTTGCTTTGTTGTTCGGCAAATTCGAGGACATCAATTCAAAGCAGGAGAGCAGCGAAGGTCTTCGGTTTGTTGTAGTTCGGACAACGCCGACATCGGGCTTTCTACATGCTCTTGGAGTACTAAAAAGTTTCCTGGTAAGGCTTTGACAAGTTGAAGCGATGAACTTTTTAAGAAACATCGCATGAAGTTTGAGAAAAATAAATGAACTTACCGAATAATCCAAAGATATCCACGGAGGCGACACGGACGCACGAGCAGCTTGCACTCGCACGAGGTATAGTTGCGTGCGCACTCGCACGAGGGTGCGCATGTCCACCAGGTGAGCCCGCAATTTCTTTGGCCGGCTATTGGGCTTAAAATTCGTGCGCGCGCTTAATAATTATTCAAAATGGCGCAGATTTTGAACATCGCCCGTCCAAGTAACCAAAAATCTCGAATCTTCACGCCTGGCATGCACAGGTATCCCATCGACCACAGGATCCCCAAAGATTACGAAGCGTTCTCCTAACGTCGAACGCAATTAGACTTAAAAATGTTGCACTTATAGAAACTGAAGAAACTGCCCCAACACCGACACTTGTGGTTAAAGCGCAAAAAATATTTCCTTTTTTGTTTTATTTGGACCCTTGAATGGCGGTTTCATGGTATAAATCCTGTACCCGTAATCTCTAGTCACATTGACGCAAGCCCGGTTGCAAACCACCCGAGACGACGGAAATCCAAGTTGCTATATGCCAAGTATTCGCGACAGAAAAAAAAAGAAATATTGACTAATTCGCGTAAACAAAATCCACTTTAATCCTTGTTAAGAGTGGTTCAATTCCAGTCAATTGCTTGTAGAAATTATGGTAGGACTTGAGCCGACTGACCTATAAAGAAAAATAAATAATAAATGTGAAACTTTTATTGCGCATATTCAATAGAAATATTTTCATATGCGCATTACAGACGACAAGATAAGAAATAAGTCAATGAAAAGCTATATTTAAATAAATAAATAAAAATAAAATGAAAAATAAAAAAATAAACAAATAAAATAAACAAATAAGTCAATTAAAAAGCTATCTTAAAAAAGTACGTTTTGACAGCTCTTTTTAAAAAAGGTCTAAAAATTAAGCTCTGAATGTTTGGGATCTCCGCCGGAAGACTGTTCCACAATTTCGGAGCCGCCAACTGAAATGCTTGGTCAGCAAGTGTAGGTAGGCACCGTGCGTTGGCTGGTACCACCAAATTCGCATTCCTGGACCTAAGATTATATCTTGACTGGGCAGTGACAGCAATAAGATCAACCAGATATTTAGGTGCTGGGGCCTCAGAGGCACTTGAATGTTAATAACACTATTTTAAATTCAATTTTGTTTTCGACGGCCAACCATTGAAGATCCTTTAAAAGAGGAGTAACCTGATAGATACAAGGGGTGTTAGTTACAAGTGTGGCAGTAGCATTTTGAACTCATTGAAGTTTATTAATGTGAATCGGGTAGGAAGGCCGTATAATAGACTGCTGCAGTAGTCCAGTTTACTGGTAATAAACGCACGGACAAGGGATATAGCGGTTTGATGAGACAGATACTTTCTAATCCTACGTATATATTGTAGATATAATAAAAAGACGAGCTGCAGATACTATTGACATGACTAAGCATTATATAGGTTAGAATCAAACCATGATCCCAAGTTTCTTACTTGGGTAAAGAATTTATCCGAGATTCACCAACAATAAGGTGTGAGGTCTTTACTTTCTCGAGTCGCTGTCTTGTTCAAATGATAAATTCTGTTTTGTCAGGATTAAGTTTAAATTTACCCATCAGCATCCAGTTCTGTACATCACGAATATAGGATTGCATAGATGACACAGCAGCAGTTTCGTTAGCATAATAACCAGGACATTAACTACCCGCTTTAAGTTCTAATAAGGTAGACCTGGGTTCGAAGCTGTATCCTAGCAACATGCAACGCATGCTCAATAAAGATCTTACTCGATCCATACAGAGTCTTTCTCTAGTACTCGACACACTTTCCCCACCCAGAACAGTAGAGATACTAGAGAAGATTTTCCGGTTGGCCGGACTTTAATAAAGATATCCTTATACCTTTTAAAACATGAAGGCTTAGTCTCCCGTTTCTTCGTCATTTTCTTCCAGAAGATCTCTGCAACCAACGTTATAAATGCTGCAGTTATCCCACAGCCCATGACGACGTACACTCCCAACATACTGGGTAAATCGATCCGCTTTTGAGACAACGCTGCCAAAAAGAAAAAAAGAAAGGAAGGGAGGAAGAGGATGGAAAGAGGAGAAATAAGGGTTTTTGATCAAAAGTGAAGTCAAGATGGTTGGGCATTGGCCAAGCTCTTTTTATTTTGGATCGAGAGAAATTCGAGGTGAGTAAAAACGCGAGAAAGAACGAAGCCAGTATCCATCCATCTTGACCGAACAAAGGATTCATAATGTGGCCACGAGAACTTTTTATTATGGAAAATATCAACCTGTACATTTTGCCGGCTCAAACAATTTGGAAAGCTTGAGCCTGATTTGTAAAGCAGTAAGGGAAAGCAGTAAGGTTTGCACAACAGATCGTTGGTTTTTGAGGTGGTGTGATTTGAAGTGAGCAAAATAAATATATTACTCTGTTTTGTGGATGGTTTTCCTGCAAACTAGTCTTGCCATTTGATTGTGAGTAATTGATGATGACGTTCGAGGGTTTCGGAAGAAATAAAAACTCTGAATGCGTGTACCTTAGTGACAGCCGTTTTTCGATGACATGGGAAAAGGGAATTCAAGTGCCATTTCCATTTTTCGTTTTCGCATGACATTGAAAAACAAATTTGAATTTCGCTTCTTGTTTTTCGTTTTCGCCTAACTTTGAAAAACGGTTTTGCACTTCGTATTTCGTTTTTCGTTTTCGCATCACTTTGAAAAACGGATATGAATTTTGTTTTTCGTTTTTCGTTTTCGCATTACTTTGAAAAACAGATCTGAATTTCGTTTGTCATTTTTGCATGACTTGAAAAAGGGATCACTGCACCAGTCCAGTCATTTGAAGCCCCGGCCACCCCCTCAGGGTTGACCGGAGCATTCACTTTTTATGTAACCGAAAGTAAGTGAATTTTCCTCTCCCCGGGGCCAAATGAGTAGTAAACTTCCCCCCCCCCCCTAATGATATGTCTTACACACACACGGTACTCCCTTTTTTAACAATGGATGACAAATGATATGATGATAGCCGCGAAAAAACACGCAGATATCGCAACACTTGCATATCCTCGATGGAGAAGGAAAGTGCAAACGTTTGAGCACTTTACAACTTGAAGTCACAAAATGCGAGGTAACAAAAAATTACAAATCAAGTTTTACAGTCTTCTGGAGTTTTTGTAGAATGACTCAATAATTACAAAGTGCCTTTCTTGTCGTCATTTCCAGGATACAACAAATTACTACATTATAGGGTGTTTATTAAACAATTGAATGGGGAAAAATAAGACGCGTCTAGTTAACTTCTCTAACAAGTGGCACAAAAAATGTGTTCAAGGCTTAAAGAAAACGTGACTCAGCTAAGACACTCCTTATATGCTCGTATAAATGGTACAGTTTGTGTCTTATTTGAGACTTGTCGTAAAAAAAAGACAAACAAAAGCATAGATGTATTTCTTCAGCTGCGATATGTTTTGGAAACGCTTACCACCATGACTGCCCTGCTTATTCCCCGGTCAGAGAGGCAAAGACCGGGATTCCTAGCGTATCCCCCGCCTACCGGGGAATAAAAAGGAATTATGAAGTGAAAGGCCCCTCATTATCCCGGTTTCCTTGTGGGGAGTTTTTCAAATGACTGGTGTAAAAATCCAAAAATTCATGAAAAACATGAAATTCAAATCTGTTTTTCAAAGTGAATGCAAAAAAAAAAGTGATGCGAAAACGAAAAAAAATGAAGTTCAAATCCGTTTTTTAAAGTTAAGCGAAAACGAAAAACAAAAAGCAAAATTCAAATCTGTTTTTCAATGTCATGCGAAAACGAAAAATGTAAATGGCATTTGAATTCCATTTTCCCATGCCATCGAAAAACGGTTGGCACCAAGATACACCCATTACTCTGACACTCTAAGTTTCTTTACGCCGTTACATGACTTTGTCACAGCAAGAAAAAGAGACACTTATCTTTCAGCAAAAACATTTAGTATACGATGATTGTCAACTGAGCTATAGAGTCAATTGAAAACCTAGCCTGCTAAATGTACAACCGTCTCTCCTCCTCGCTTCTTGCCGCGCTATGGACGTCTCATGCTCAAAACATCCAAGCGGGGTAAGGAAGGAGAGGAGAGACAGCTGAATGATTGCAAACTGATGATTACCAACGGCTATGTTTGATTGATTGGATAGTTAAGGGCTCTTAAGGGTTTCGTGAATAAACAAATTTATGCAATTTCTTGTGTAACTCACTTGTTTCCTGTTCTTTGGGACATTCATTGGCTTTGTCCCACCACTTTCGCTTCAAATTATCAAGGAAGTCATTTTCATGAAGACGCAAAATGGCCAGAGTAAAATCCATAGTATGTGGATCATAAGCTTGAAAACCGAGCGCCAGTCCCTTGGCTCTACTGAGACCTGGAACTGGATGGAAAATGAAACTGATTTGTCATATTGTTCTGGAAATTCTCTCAACCATATAATTAGGATCAAGCAATAATGACTGTTTGAGCATATAACTAAGGGCGCTTTCCATTATTGTCGGCCGGGTAGACCATTCCCGTCGTAATGAGAATTTCACCTTTAATCAAAACTATCCAGCCAGGTAAGTCAAATCCTGAATAGCTAGTATGCACGAAAGAGATGATTTTTCATCAAAAACTCTTGTTAAAAACTTATTTCATTTTCAAGAGAAAAAAAAAGAGTATCAAGGCCTTGGTCTGGCAGGCAGGTATGAGTTTTGGAAAGCAGTCAGGAGATACCACTCTTCAAATAAAGGGCAAAAAAAAATCCCTGATTAACTTTTTGCCCGGCTGGACTGGCTGTATCGGTTGACGACGATCTTGCTCCACCTCTACTTCCTTTGTAAAATTTCATTGTCTTTATTGAGAGAGGATTAACCCGGTTAGCCGAGGTTTTTTTTCGGCTTGTGAAAGGAGCATTTCATACCCGTTTAAAGGGGCTATTTCAACCCTATTGGCTATCTTTTTAAAAAGCTAAACTGAGTGTCTTTTCATCAATTTAATTTCAATGGCAAGGATGGAAAAGGATTGAAACTTGAAAAAATTGGCCCAACTTTTTCACTGAGTTATAATACTACCTTATTTATTCGAATAAGCGCCCACCTCGAATAAGCGCCCATCCTAAAGGCAGAAAAAATTAATACGTGCTTACTCCCACCCACAAACCACACCCCTTCCTCCTCCCAATTAAATCCAAATGAGCGCCCATCCCCACCCCACCACTTGAGTGACAATGAGATTGAGACTGAAATTGAGGACGGAGTTTTCTTCAGAGTATTTTACAGAAATCTTGCTTTGTTACTTCTTCGCGTTTTGTTTTCAGCATTCATCGTTTGGTTACAAAATAAACATACTACACTTGCTGAAAATGGTGAAAATTTAATAAACGCCCAATTCAATTCAATTCAATTCAATTCTTTATTCACACTATATAAGATATTTACAAAAGTGTACGTAGGTAGGAAAATAAAGTAGCTGACAAATAATAATTAACTAAAAGACATTAAGTTCATTTGTGTACGGTGTCCAAAGTAGCAAGAGCTTTCTCGTTGGACACCGTCATGTTGAAATAATTGGCAGCAGTAAAGAGAGGAATAAAATCTCAAATAATATCAGTGATAGAACATATAAGCAAGGTCAGATTTGGTTGGTTAGAAGGCAGGACTTCCATTCTTTCTTAAACTTATGATATGACAGACACTTGAGACCAGGCAGCAGAGAGACCGGCCATCGCTTATTCGATGCCCAGCATGGAATAAGCGCCAACCCTCAAGGTTCAAGGGCGGATAATCGAATAAATACGGTATGCCTGCATACCCTGCAAATATCACCAAGAATCATTTTGTGTATGGGTAAAGGCACGACAATTCTGCGGATTTTTGATTTTGAACTATTTCTGGTTATTGAATAAGTAATGATTAAAAAGCTTTCAGAATGCGTTCGGGAAAAAAGATGACCGTCACGAAGTAAGCAATTTTGTCCTGGTTAGTAACCAATGGGCAAGGCTTTTCCTGTCATGCAAACCATCTTGATCCACCGGGTCTTTACATACCTGTCATTAGGTCGCATGGACGGTGGTTGGCAATATACTCAAGAATAGGCCCGTCATTGATAAACACAAAGCTTGATCTTTCTCTCACTTGTTGGATTCCATCAGAAGTGTTCTGGACGAATGTTTGCTCTGCTTTCATTCGCTGCCAAATCTTTAAGTGCGGTTCATATTGGGTGGTCGCGAACGACTGCTGTGTACTAGTAGATGCGATTACACCAACGTGGTGGGAAGTTTGCGCAATGTCTTCCAGGCTTTTAATTGGGTGAGCTGCATTTTTGACAGTAAGAAAAGCCGCTAGGTTGGCGGTATATGTTGAGACCCAGACAAGGATGCAAAACCAGTAACATCCGGTAAGAATACGACCTGCAGAAAGACGGAAAATGAAATGAATCAAAAATAAAACGAAAAGTAATTGAAATGTCTGAAAGTAGGCAATTATCTTACCTAGTATCCCGGGGAGGGGACTTCGCATATGAAAGGGGTAGGGATGCTCGTCGGAAATTTTGAATTAAACTCCCAAAGGAGACCGATCTATGCGTGGCCCAAGCTTTTTTTGACCCCTAAAAGAGACCATGTTAAAACACAGACAATAGATATATTTTTTACGCGTGCAACCCTAAACGAGACCTTCACGGCTAAATATGATGGCGTTTTGCCCAGAACACCGTAAGTGAGACCAAAATCCGAAATTTACATCCCCAAGCGAGACGACGAGCATCCCCACCCCTTTCATATGCAGAGTCCCTCCGGACCTAGTATCCTAAGGCTTATTAGTCAGGGTGAAGTGACCAGAGGAGTCTCTGGGGACATAAAATTTGTACGCTAAAATTCTGAGAAAGCCGACTAAGGTAACTACTTCTTAGAACTGACAGTGACAATTTTGTCCCTTTTATACATGGAGAAAAGTTGTCCCAAGTAGACGGTTCACTCGCCAATCCGAGGTAACCCCGAGCGAGCCAACTTTTCCTACATTTCCTAGGTGAATCGTTTACACAAAAAACAAAAGTTGGCACGCCTAAAAGGACGGGTCACCCTGTTTCGACGGTAGGGTCACCCTCAAGCCGGTCCAACTCTTCCCTATAAAAACACAGTCAGTTAGGCGAGACAATCAAAGCATGTGCAAGTACTGTTGACGCGGGAATAAGTGGCCGGAGGGGGGGGGGGGGGAGAGTTAACATTTTCCTCATATAAGGCTCGTTAAAGCTGAGTCGGCTGGGAGGGTGACCTTCTTTACCAGGACAGATTTTCTCCACATAGACGGGACCTTTCTGACGCTTCGACCATGCCGACATTCATTTTTCTTCAAAACTGAGTCGATTAAAAAGTATATTTGCCTCTAAAAAGGGATTGAAAAGCTGAAAATTTGACGCATTAATTGCAGAAGTAGATTTTTAAATTCTACCTGACAAACTTCTTGGTGTGTTATCACCACCTTGCTGCAGCATACAAGCTAATGCAAACCACACACTGTTGAAAAAACTGAATTCGTCCGAAGTGCCTTCATCATTTTCATTTTTGTATCCATAGGGACTGTAATAGTTTAGTACAAATACGGCGACAGAGGTGATCACTAAGGTGGCTAGAGTACAAAACCAAACCAGATTTTCAAACGGAGTCATAAATTGTAACAAGTCTATTGGTTTGTTTCCAGACGAAGGCTTCTTCATGATCAAATCCTCTGTGTAGTACATGAACGGAACGCTAAAATCCATCACTTTTTCACGTCCTTCCGTTATAGCTATAGCTGCTGATGCCATGTCTGCGTTCTATAGATAAAAATGAATGATTAATTAGCATTTTGTTCATGAGTCTGCCTGCGTATGTCGAGATATGAAGCATGTGCGAAGTTTGGAGAGAACGCGAAAAAGGTGTTACCGTTACTCGAGGCGGGAAAAACTTTGCCAGGAATTATTAACACACGCCAAACGCCGAAGAGCGCACAAAAAAACAACAAACCTCATTTTCTTACTATCGGTTACCAAATTCTAACGTTTGCCATAAAATGTACGTTATAAAACAAAAGGTTAACGTCTCAGCGTGTACTATTGAGTTATGGTTGCACCCCCCCCTCCCCCGAGTAAAAATACTGTAACGCAGAAAAGCAATGGTCATACTGGTGGCCACTCCTAGCATCCTCATTTTTAAAAAACATAACACTAAGGATCCTTAAGTCATGCTAATATTAATTGTGAGTTAAATATGATCTAATCCATACAGACCCCATCCAAAATCTCACGGACCATCCCATCCCATGTCCCATTTTCCATTCTGGCGCCATATTTGCCGTCCGGGGAGTAGTAGAACTCGTACTTGAACTTGAAGATTTTTGCCAGTTCGTTAATCAGATCCACACAGTATCCTTCAAATTGAAAGGTACCATCCTTGTTCTTCTTTGCCATCACAAAGGGAGGCTCCTTGTAAAAATAAAAACAGGACAATTATCAGCATATATCAACATATATCAGTTATCAACTCGGATTTGGTCAAGCTTCAAGGAGAGTAAATGGTATGCGTCAAGAGAAAGCTTAAGCAAATGCGTTTTGAGCAACGCACACCAATCGGAAGTGCGATCTTTTTCACTTCAAAACTCCTTGACGTTACCAAACTTGAGTTTCTAAGTGTCTTTACTGTTATAGAGACGATTTTTCCACAACTTTGTGCAAAACCGTAGTCAAAAAATGAAAAACAAGACCACTTCCGGTTGACATGCGTCGCTAAAAAACGTCCTAAGCTCACGATTAGGGAGTTTAACCAAAGCGTTTCTGAGCGAAGCAGGTCAACCGGAAGTCAAATTGTTTGCATTCTTTGGGCAGTGGTTTTACCCAAATTTTCTAGAAATCGTCTCTGCAAGAGCAAAGACACTTTATAGCTATACAAATTCGGTAGCGTCGAGGAATGTTAAAAGGGAAATGGTCTCACTTCCAGTTGACGCGCGTGCGTCGCTCGAAAACGCCTCTGCTTAATGATAATACAAGTTTAAAATAAATTGGTTCTTTCGTATTTTTTATTTTGTTGATCTAAGTAGTTATAACAAATAACGATTGCTTAAAAATGATGATGAGAGATCACATAAATGGGAATTAGAAGATCAAGTGCAAAGCCTCATAATAGCGATGACGATGTAAAAAGAAGAGCTTACCATATTCGAAGCATTTAAGCAACCTCGAAGAGAAAAGTTGTTAGGAAACAATTCGAGGTCTTAAATATTCTTGTAATCGTTTTTACCTCAACCGTGACAATCCGGAACGTCCTGCGTTCTAGTCTATTCCCATTTGAAGATGAATTCTCCTCTGCATTAGCTGACATTTTATCAAAGAACATCAAACCCTCAGTTGTATTCCAAGAACCTATCTAAAAAAGAATCAAATAACGAACCACTAGCTTTTAGTTTTCTTTCACTTATAGCTTAACTATTGATTGCCTTAAAAATCATATATTGAAATATCTATAAAAACTTAAGACACAGGACATGTTTGTACTAGCTTTATTGGTGTACTGGAAAGGTATTAGCCTCCGCGTGAAAATGTGCGGCAAGATTCAGTTTTCGATGTCAATAGGTAATCAGAGAAGTAACAAGGTAAAGATGTTCCTTTACGAATTAAGTTTGATCATCGACACATCAACAAAGTCAATATTAATAAAAACTCAGTCTTAGAATTAAAAGAAGTAAAGGCGCCGAGCAAAACGGGATGATTTAGATCCCTTTACATTACCCACTCGCTTAGGAGTCTTTGCGAATATTTTTTGTTGTCGATATCCAGTCGAGAGATTGTCTTTCGTTTTCAAAAAACTCAGTCTGAATAAGAAATGCACTGAACAAAATAGGATTATTCATACCCTTCATACTACTTACCCTTTTAAAGGAGTCGTTGCGGAGATTAAGGATTTCCAGTCGCGAGACTATTCGAATTCCGTTTTCATCAAACTGGACAGGACCAGTTATGCCCGAGATATCAACCTTTAACAAAGAAGAAAAACAAAGGGTATGGTTAAATTTACATGGAAAAGTAAGTGGGCATCTCTCGGACGAGAGTGCTTGGCGGAACATTATTTTCTGGAACTGAACACGACTTCTCCGACGCAGATGCCGTACAAATTTTCGGTGACAAATTGCTCCTAAAGTCAAAATAGGAAACTTTATTTCAATCAACTAAACAAACAATGAACCTAGCAATTAGTCCGTCGATCGTTCAATCCATCGATCGCTCGATCAATCAATCAATCAATAAATCAATCACTCACTCACTCAACCACTCACTCACTCACTCAATCAATCAATCAATCAATCAATCAATCAATCAATCAATCAATCAATCAATCAACCTACCAATCAATCAATCAGTCAATCAATAAATCAATTAATCAATCAGTCTATCAGTCAATCAATTAATCAATCGATTATAGGCCGGATTGCCAGGTTTCCTATTGACTAGAAGGAATGATCTTCCAGTAAGGACATGAGCGGCCTTTTTCATGGCAGGAAAAAAAAATTCAGATGTTTAAACCAGCTTTAACCATGCAGCTTTAAACGGATTTTACAAGGTGGCATATTCTAGGTTCTAAAGTTTTTTTTTCCCCCAGATTAACGTCACTTATCCTCACTTTTAGGCTACCTGAACATTGGTTAAATGGGTCCTCCAGTAAAGTTGAAAATTAAGTCGATCCTTGACGAGGAAGATTAAGCTACTCAAGGAGTGAAAATTGAGAATGAGCCATGGACTTATTTTTAAGAACTGCAAAACTAATCAAGGTATATGAAGTCAGTACCTTTGTCATGCAGTTAAATATGAGATCTTTATCCCTTTGATTGTTACTAGACTTGTTTAGCGATAAACACGGCGCTTTGTTTAGTGCTTGATAAATGACCTGGACCGCATCATATGCCTGAACAGCGGTAAGATCCTACAGAAGGATATTTTCCATTTCAAAATGTTAATAACTGCTCAATTACTCGCTATATTTCTACTAACGGTAATCGTGCATTCATTTTTAATATTATTGCTTTCTTGTGCCACCAACTTAAATAACAGTTATACTGCATCACATTAACCCATTCGCTCCTGGAGATTTTGCCGAAAAACGCGTTTTGAAGCTATTCGAGTGGTTTTCTAGTCACTGTCGTGCTATAAAGAGCTAAAACGTACCACAAACCGGTTTACAGGTCGTACACTTCACGGCCTTTTGATCCAGATGCAAAATATCAGCTTGCGAAGTTCGGGCATGCGCAGAAACCAAAATTTCGAGACACAGCAGTCTTGACTTTTACTTTTCGCTTTCTCTCCTCCCCTCTTTTTTCGCTTTTCGTGCCTCATTTTTTTCTCTTGCTGGGATTTAGTAGGCTTCATTTTGGTGGGAATAGGTTTTAGCAAAGCTTTTAGGATTAGGTGAAAGGAAAGGTAGGTGAGCAATGGACCAAGATTTTCATGGAGATTTTCAGGTCAATGTTACATGGTTTTTTGCTTCTTTCTCCGCTGTCCTTGACTGAATTGTACTCATTCTGGTATGGTTTGAAAGATCTCTTCACTCTGCACAAGTTAGCGGACAAAATTGTCTTTGACCGTTAAAACTGATAACGTCACAAAGGGTAGAAAGGACGTGGATCCGCACGGGCTTTTACGGGCGGTTCAGGGGCGAATGGGTTAATACCCAAAGCGCACGATTTTGTTACAGCCAAAATTTCTTGGATGCATAGGTAACCAAATTTTATTACCCATGGTGCTACCAACACTCGCTTTAATTCTCGCGCAGGAGCTCCGCTATCGAAAGAGCTATTATATGGCAGTTTTATACAGTAATTAAATGAGGTACAACAAATAGGGACAAGCAGGTTCACTTGGCCTTTTACGCAGACGACGTTTCTGCAGCTTACCTCGTTGAAATTCTCGAGATTTATGCCTGGAATTGCATCAGGTATGTATGGAAGCTTAAAAGCTAGAACGACATTGTTTGGAAAACTGGCTAGCTTGAAGGATACCTAAGTAAAAAGTAAAAAGGTATTCAGATATATTGTTTTATTATGTATCGTAAAACCTTAATTGCTCACAACAATTCGTTATTACTTTCCGATGCTATCGAGAAACTAACACTTTGCTATAGCAAGGTATCAGACGTTGTTTCCCACATGACAGAATACTTTTTTTTCGTGGGTTGCGTAATCCGTGTGAGAGAAAGACCAAAGAAGCTGACGCCACTGATTATTATCCTGATAGCGTAAGTAATGCGCTACGGGGTATCTTATTAACCAGTGGAGAGAAATTAAAATATAGCATATCGGTGGCTCGACAGATATGTAAATCAATAAGCCTGTGTCGCAGACAGTTTGGATCCGGGATATCGAGTTCTCCTTCTGGATCTCGAGTGACAATTCCGGCGACAACGCAGGTTATGATTGGTGAAAGCCCCTTGGAAGGTTTCTTCAACTATATATTAATGCTACCATACTTCTTCAGTTGCGTTTGGAGCCCTAGCCGGATATAGTCGGAGTGTGCCGAGGCGTTCACTGGTTGAATCTTTTGGAAGACTCGTGGAAAACGAAGTGCTCTTGCTGGTGGCAGTATCCTCATTGTTTGACGAAGATTGAAAAAACTAGCCTGAATTTCAGATATTTCTTCGAGTTGCTTACTCCCTCAGTAACGTCCTGAAAAAAGTTGATCAGAAAGTAATACTTGATGTAATGTCACAGTAAATACAAACCTCTTCTTGAAGTATCCATTTGTAATATTTCTTCAGATCACAGGGTACCTTTAAAAAATAGAGATTAAAACGCCAAGCTATTTCCACTTTTCTTATTTTAAGTACCGAAATAGCTGGGAACCACTGAACTTTACGAAATGAGTTATGATATAGCCCTCTTTTGAATATATCATAAATACTGTAAACATCTTAATTTTATAAAGGTTAATAGTATGAGGTTCCTTGTGGATGTGGGTTGGGGGGGGGGGGGGGGGGGGTGGGTATGTTAGGCGGAGGAACCTAAAACCTTTTTACACATCGTCAACCCATTCTTAGCCTCGACAAGTCGCGCATGATTTTTTAGCAACTAGCTTTTACCCCTTTTTTCGGCAGTAGTATAGTAGACATTTTTGAGGCCCTATTTTGCGTGGGAATCTCAATAACTTATCTCAATAACTTGCGGGGAATAAATTAACGTCGATGACGTCATATCCTTTTGTCTTTATCACATGAATAAAATGAGGGGAATCTCCTTAAAGTAAGGTCATGTGTTATATATTAATAGGGGGTTTAACCGGTTTGACAGGTTTCCTAGTGACGGATTAAGATTTTACGCGAATGAGAATAGACAAAGTTTTTTTTTCATCTTACTTGTTGCAACAGTAGTTGGGCTATTTCTTTGCTGGTGTAAAGCAGAACAACTTCAGGACCAAATTCTGTTATTTCCTCAGTGGCTTTCAAAACTGCCTTTCTCTGTTCTTCACTTGTCCTTCCGTTTGCGAGCTGGACTAAATTCATGGCCAAGTTAGAATTCTGGAAAGTTGCGTAGAAGTAACCAGCATCAAGTAACCGATTCTCTGTCGAAGTGACAGACATGAGTGTTATACATAAGGTGCAAATAAAGCCGTTCAATGCTTTATCCATGAAATAGGCGTTTTTGCGGAAAAGCTTTAGCATAAATGGAGTTCTAATTATAGCTGCAAAGGAATAATCTTATTAACAATTACATCACACTTTATTAGAAATTTGCGTTGTCAGAAAATAATTCTGGATAATACTTAGGTCCCGTTTATATGGAGTAAATGCGTTCTGGGTAGAAGAGTCACCCTAGCTTACAGCTGAGTCAACTTTAGCGCGCTTTTAATTTATATGACAAAAATTTTGTCCCCTTTGCCCGCAACAGCGCTCGCGCATGCTCTGCACGTGATCTGATTGTCTAAAACAGCGCGATTGTCCTACCTTGACCTTATTGACCCGGGTGGGCGAGCCATAGTGTTTACATGGGGAAAATTTGGCCTGGCTAGGAAGGTGACCCACTAGTACCATCACTAAAGGCTGACCAGGCTAGGCGGGTCACTCTTCTAGCCAAGCCAGTTGTTTTGTTTCTTATTTAATCGGTTCGCCACCGGTTTTGTAAGGAAACGTATGAAAAATTGTCCCGCCCAGGGTAACTCGAGTAGGAGCGTGCACTGCACGAAAAATTTGATTTACACCAAATTTACCCTGTGCAAATATGGTGCAAAAAAGTGTTAACCTAAGGTTAATTCAAGGGCAAAGATGTACGCATTGGCCCACGAATTTTCAACCCTATGTAAACTAGAAGGTAAATGCGGTATTTACCATCTTTGCCTTTGATTTTCTCATAGTTTGCACTTTTTTGCACCTTATTTGCCCTAGCAAATTTGTGTAAATCCAATTTTTCGTGCAGTGGTGACCTTTCCATTCAGGGCAACTTTCCTCTAAATAAATCGGGCCTAAGACACTCTTAGTTACCATCAAACACTAATGAAATCTTCCTCCAGTGAAAGCTGGTTAGAACGTCAAACGTGGCTTGCGCAATGTAGGTGTAGTCCACTGACATATCCACTGTTTTTTCGCACTGATTAAATGGTATAAGCCTTTCATAGAGACGAACTAGAGGGATGCCAGTAACTGTAGACAGTGAGCATGCGTGCGACTCCGATTGACTCCCGCCTATCAGTACCGTAATATTTTGCTGCTGGAACACACCAGTGGCTGAAAATAAAGGTGATGATGATTTAAACAAAATATGAAACATCGAACCGATGTTAAATGAAATCAAAGTGGCAGCGAACCACTAAAGATAGGAAATAATTTTGCGCACATCCTTATTTTGGGTAAAAGAAATTATGATTTTTCTTAACGAGAGTCTATTCGTATATAATCTCGAGAATTCGCGTACAGTTCATCGGCTTTGGAGTAAAAATTTATGTACTTTTTTCGGTGGCCTTGTATTTCTTGAAAAAAGGGCTGTATGTTAAGTGATAGAGGACTTTGCTGCGCGAGCACGTCACGATTTTCCATTATGTTAGATGTCTATTATTTGGGCGTGTTTCATGGTTTAGCCATCAGCGTCCACCAAAACAAATCTTTAGACTGGCAAATGGCCGTAAGGCACTTAAACATTAACCCCCGCCCCCTGCAAAGACAGCTGCTGTATGCTATTGCTAAAGCTAAAGGTAAAGTGTGCTCTTTTACATGATAACGGTAGCTGGAAATACAGTAGTGTTCAAATGATTAAGAGGGCTTACCATTTGTCAGAACTGGCTGGCCAAAATAGTTCAATAGTTATGAAAATTCCACTATTACGGAAAATGCAGCCAGATCAGTCTGTCCCTAAAACGTATTTTGTAAAATTTCGTTTTTAAAAATTACAAGTCCTGCTGGCCAGTCCTCTGATTTTTTGAAAGCGCCCTAACAAATCTAAGGCCGACGGTGTGCTAATTTTAACACCTCTCTCTTCATCAGTCTCCGTTTTCATGACGGGTATCTAAAAGGTACTTAAAGGGGGTGTATCATGGTTCTAATTCATTTTGTTAATATTGACAATTACTCTATCTTATGCGCTTAACGAATAAATTATTTGTTAACGACAAAACCACAGCTTCAAGTCCAACAAATATACCTCCCAAGCATCATATCAAATGTTACAACAACAAAAAGGAACTTTAAAAAAACCTATTAGACTAACAAGTTTTCAAAACCCCATAATTTCGATTTGCTTTAATATTTTTCAAGTTTGTCCATCCGTGCCTAATTTTGTATTTGCTTTGTTATTAATATCTTCTTTTAATGTTTTGAGTGATTACTTTTATGTTTCCCTCAGTTTGGTGGCAGTTCATACTGTTAGAACCTTAAAAAAATTGGTAACACAGCTTCTCTAAAGTTAACCTGATAACTTACCTTGGTCAAAAAGGCTCCTCTCTGAAGAGACGTGAAAAATGTTTAATTCTATGGAAACGTTGCTGGTGGCGCTCGTGTAGTTGACAGCAGATTTGATTGCGTCGTATTCATTTTTGCTTCCGTCGTAAATAAAACCTGCGTTATGTTGAAGAAAATATTATATTGCAACTAGTTTATGCTTTTTCTATGTTACTTAATCTGGAGGAGAAGGCACAACGAGCCGAGTTAACTTTGATTAATCATAACTTAAAAGGGTGACAGGAAAACTTCCAAATTTTCTTAAAGATAAAATGCTATATTTTTGTTTACTTCATCATTATCTGCAACTGCGGAATTAAAAATTAAGACGGCTGCCTCGAAATTTCAAGATGGTGGATTTACGACGTTAATTATGTGACGTCACATTTCTTCTCGTCCAGCGCGATGTGTTACCAACGTAAAGTTCTTAGCAACAACTGCAAAAATTTGTGCATTGGTCATAAAATTAATAAAATTATCAGTGAATTTGGTTTTACAGAGGGTAGGGAAAACATGTAAAAAAAAGTGAAAATGCAAATTTTAAATAAACGACGTAATTATGACGTCATACATGTCGTAAGTTAATAAGTTCTCTTTAGTAAGTTGTCGTCCAGCGCGATGTGTTACCAACGTAAAGTTCTTAGCAACAACTGCAAAAATTTCTGCATTGGTCATAAAATTAATAAAAGTATCAGTGAATTTGGTTTTACAGAGGGTAGGAAAAACGTGTAAAAAAAAAGTGAAAATGCAAATTTTAAATAAACGACGTAATTATGACGTCATACATGTCGTAAGTTAATTTTTGATCAGTGCCACACTGTTGGCTGGATGATTTGATACAAAACAGTGCTAAGTTTTCAGGCATCAGCGATTCAGCGTGATACCTTTCCATTAATATTAGTGGGGAGGGGTCTATTGAGCACCTTGGAACTCCCCCCTGGCTCAGGGACGAATAAAAAGCCCAGGCTAAATGGGATAAACAGCTCGTTCAATTTAATGAATCCTGTAATATAAATAAACGGACCTAACTTTAGAAATTTGAAAACATCTACAAACGTAAATGATTAAGGAGTTTTCGATCGTTCCTGGGTGGATTACACACTTGTATATTTTGGACAGGTTTGATCCCCGACATACGAACTTTGTAAATTAAAATTTCACCATTTTCCGGAGCCAACTCTTGGCTCTTAGATTTGACAGCTTTACTTATTTTAAGGCGCTCTTCCAAGATGTATCAATACATCTTTGCTAATTGGTCAAAATGTACTGAAAAGGATAAGGATAAGGATAATTTATTTAATGTCAGATACGGGCTCATGATAAAAGTATTTGACAATATAAAAGAAAAATTAAATAATTAATATCTCAATAGCGACTAATTAAATTAAAAAAAAATAACATCTATCTATAAAAATAAATCGGGTCAAAGGCAATTGCTGCATTGACAGCCGATAAAAAGAAAAAAGAAACCATGGGAGAGTCTAATTTCACCACACCGCAAGCACTAAGTCAATTGCTAGTAAGATAAATGAAAAGACATAAAAAGTCAATAAGGAACTGCCTCCTCCAGAGGCTTTCCCAAGGCTAAGTGGGGATTGGGGAACTCGCGAGCAGCGAGACAAGCCGAGAGAGACAAGCGAGATGCGCGAGTGAAGGATGATGAGAACAAGCGTAGAGAGCGAGCGGGAATCGCGAGCGACTGGGGACGAGGCAGAATAAGGAAGGAAAGAGTTCATGCCAGAAATTAACTTGTGGGATGGAATTAAGCTATCCAAGAGATGAAAATATATATAAAAAAGTCGCTCTCTTACCACATGTTATCCGTCGTTTTTCCGTGGAGTTCACATGCATAAATAAATTAACAGCGGCTATTAAAATCAGAAAGAAAACTTTCATCTTTCCCTTTCCTTTCATATCATGTTTCTGGAAAAAATAAAAATGGTATCTTTATAAACTATGTGATTACCTGGAAAAGAGCCGCAGTTACTCATCAACGTCACATGCAATAACTCGCATAATATTCCTCATAAACAAGAAAGGGGACGTGAGCAGGCGATTCTCAAGTCACGCGATTTTTGTTATTCCCTTTGTTCCTAACGACTCACTTAATTCTGTATGTTGAAAGAAAGCAATACAGTTGAATTAAAGTTCGAGACTTAATGCATAGCTTATTAAAAGATTTTTGCCTTTCAGAAATTTTGAACATATTTGTTTGATAGTGTACTCACAGCACTGATGATCAAAAGCTTGTGTGCTGACATCGCATTCTGTTAAATAATTCATCGCACTTTGTTATATAAATCAAGGCACTTTGTAATACCTGTCGTAATTTGTAATAAATCTTGTCGTGTCGCACTTTGTAATAAATCCATCTAAGGTGTCGCAATTTGTTATAGTTCCATGGCACTTTGTATTACTTAATTCATTAACAATTATATCTTTTCATAAACATGAAACCCCATTCAGTTGACTAACGAGAATTGCTTATATCTCCTTCCTTCATGGAATAAAAAATAGAAATCAGTAAAACTCTTGCTGAAGTGTACGCTGTTTAACTTTTCAGAGCATGCTTTAAACCTCGACAGTGTTGCTTAGATAAATTGATTTCTGCTAGGTTCTAGGAAAATAGCAACAAACAACGCAGACACCTAGACGACGATCGAATAGTATCCCAGATGCATTTTTCCAGAAGTATCACGCAATATCGCAGTCATGGCAGATTCCATCGTGAAATAAGGTCGTTTTCTCGTCGGCTTTTTTCTCATTCGATTTCCAGCAAAAGTAAGAAAATTGCATTATTTCGTAATTTGACATGATTTCTCCGATGTGCAATGCCTTAAGAGCGAGGTTTCCGCATGGAAACATTTATTTTCATTGTTTCAATTAGTCTTCCCATCACAAAGTGCTCAGTGACCCACAACAAGGTCATGAATATTCAAGAATTTTAGGAATATATGTTGAAATCTTCCAAACGTGGACCTCACGCCAGAAAAATGAAGTCCTGAATATTGTACAGGCTACGAAGTACTCTGAAGTACCCACATTTTGAAGACTTTTTCATCGACCAAAGATGGCTGAAATTTCGAATCTTTTATCACATTTCAGCGCCATGTGTGATAATACATGGGTAAAGTCTGCTGAAGGCCACAATCTGTTGGGCGCTTTCGAGCGCGCTTTATGCTGAAGCCATTACTTTGTATTTTCAAAGTGGTTATTGTTAAAAGGAATTTGACTATAATTATTTTAATTCGAAGAAGGAGCGGTGAATAATGGTGTGTTTCAGTGTGATAGGAACCCAAAGAAAGGTGCCACGCAGCATGCAAGCCGGCGCAAGGTAAACAAGCCTGCTCAGAATTTGAAAAAGAAACATCAGAAACTTTATTTATTCAAAAGAACAGATCAGTATTCTGGCCAGGAAATTTCATTGAAGATTTCTTGAGTCCGTACCGAGTAGATTGTGCTTCAGAAAATTGTTTGTCGCATCGATAGGTTAAATTTTATATGTAACTGTCGTTGTAAACTGAGCCGCGCCTGTGAGCGCGATGCTGTAATAAATCCTCCTTTGGTAATTAGCTTCACAGCGTAGCAGCTGTTTTGTTGGAACCACTTTTTACATCAGTCATGGTTTTGGTTCTCCCGGGGTTCTCCTCAGGCCTGGGTTCTCCTTGTGAACCTAGCGAAGCTTATCAGTTGCTACCGAGCGCACAAGCGGTAGTTCTCGACAGATAAGTGAAACACATGCAAAACCCTTCTTAGTCAAAGTAACGCTGAAATTCTTCTTTAAAGCATAGCGAATATAAGCCAACTCGATAATCTCAAAAGCAGAAGCTGCTGAAC